ATGTGCGTATTACATCAATTATGTGTATACAACTACAGTCTTCATGGTCACCGGTCGCCAAAAGAAATTTTTCTTTATTATCACGCATCAAAGCGGCTAGTTTACCGTTACACATCTAATTAGATTACACTTATACTTAAAAGTATCGTAAGATTTTTAAAACATAACTGGTTTAGGAGGTATATTATTAAATTAAATATAACTCAAAAATCTTTCTTTTCCATTTCGTTGAACATTCATACACCACAAAGCAAAAAACATTGTTTTTCATCAAATACGCGATAAAAAAACTAAGCTCAATTTTTAAAAATAAATTAAGAGGTCTGTATCATAACTTAAATTATAAAAACCCAACATGAATGAAATTCCAAAATAGCGGATCTCAGTATAATAACTCATGAAGACAAATTTTTGGACGTAGTCAGAGATGAGTGTGAAAAGTTGTCAATCATATCTTAGAAAACTTTTCACGAGACACTTCTGCGATTTTAAAAGTTTTAATTGTTTTAAACCTTATACCGTAACTCTAGTAACTATATCTATAGTAACTCTAATATTAAAGCATATATGTTTTAATTCGTTCGATATTAGAGTGCGATAGTATTTTATGGGATACATAAAAGTAAACTATTATTATTATATAATCTTTTTATGTGGAACAAGATCTATGTAATGTTTGCATAATATGCTATACGATAATAATAATAATAATAATAATAATGGAATACATTTCAATCCGGACTAGTAGTCACAATAGAGAATATATGAAATAAATAATGCCTAACTTATAAGGGTAAATGTTCCAACATAAAGTTACAAGATATGGATCTCTTCATATACACAACCTAATTATGTATAATTAGACAAAAGAAATAAGTTTAATCTAGTTTTTTGTGCATATTTGTTGACACTCAAGATATATTAAAATATAGTATACATCAATATAAAAAGTCAAGTTTATAAGAATAACTGTTTCAACTTAGAGTTGAAATATATACTCTCTTTTTTCATCTACAAACCTTAGCTGATCGTCGAATATACTTCGATTTAAAATTTAATTACGATCTTCTAAATTATTTCTCATATCAATTATGAAAATAGGACTAAATGTACCATGTGTTAATTTAAGCAATCATGTTTTATTTTCTGTTAACCATCACAATCATAACTATAACTACCATTAGCCAATAAACGGATTGTTAAGTACATGTAATGACTGTAACTTGTGTTTTTTTTTATCATAATTTAGATACTATTAAATTATGATAATTTAATAGTTTAATTTATTGTTTACAGAATAAAAAAATTCAAATTAAATCATCGTCGTACAGTGGGGATATGGTATTGTTGGCACAAGTAAAGATATCTGACAGTGATTAAAATCACTATCATAAGAAACGTTTCGATATAAATCTATACATAGTGTTTTATTTTAAGAAATTGGTGGATTATTCCAAAAGCAGCATCAACACTTATTGCCTTAAATGTATTTTAATTAGTAGTTCTTTCATATATAAGTGTAATATATAAATAAATACTTAGTAATTGATATTTTTAATTATAGTAATAAATCATAGTATGAAATTGATATTAAATAATTTAATATAGTAAATTTTATGGAGAAATTATAAAAATTATAAAGTAGTTGTATAATTCAATACTTTTATGGAAAAAGTCTATAAAAATTAAATTGCTTGATGCAAAACTTTTCAGATAATAATTTAAAATAGTGAGATCTAAACTGGTCTACAATCAATTTTAATGAGTAACTAAAATATACTGTTTCAAAACCAATTTTTGCACTGATTTCAAACACAGCAATTAAATTAGTTTTGTTACCTCTATTTTTTTTTAATTATTACTTATTAGTAAAACCGAATATTTACATATAAAAAAAAATCTAAGACACATCAGTGGACAAAACAATAGGCGAAACTAAGTTTAGAATGTTTATGAATATAAATATATTATAGATTATAACTACAATATAAATATGACATAATTATACGAGATATAGTTCTGAATATTTCAATTGAATTTCAAAATAGTATTTTTTGTTAATTTTAAGCTTTAATTTAATAGATTTTAAAAGTTCGGAGAACTCCCGGAACATTTTAAAAAGTTAAATTGAAAAATGTTTATATTCGTATGTTATATAAAATATTTGTATGTTTTTAACGTTTCTGTATAAAGGGAAATGGTTCGTCTTAAAAAAAATTATGTTGAATGAAAGAGGTATATATAAAGTATTTAAAAATAAATTAAGTTAACCAATACATTTTTTAAATAGTTATAGCAATTTAAAATTAATAAAATAAAATATAATACCGAAAATTTAAACACAAAAAAAAGTAGCAACAGACACAAAAAACATACACATCATAGTAAAATGATTTATCAGTTTAGTAACAATTATATCAATTTTTTTGGTATTAAATTGCAGTTCTGATATATTTCTGGCTAGCTAGAATTTTTAGCCAACTTAACCCAATCCGATCTTGAAATTTCGGGAACTTTTTTACTTCTGAACATGTAAATTAATTTTTTCAGATAGATATTAAATTTCATTATTTTAAAAGTTAATATTTTTTAATTTTGGAATACTTATATTGTTTCAGTTCTTAAAATTAATTTTCAAGAAAAATTCAATTTTGAAAACAGTTAATTAATTAAGTGTAGGTTTTTAGGACATCATTTTTCTAGGCCTTTTTATAACTATTTATAATTTATTTTCTTTGATTACTTTTATTTGAAAGCGATATATTAATTAATATCAATTTACTTAAATAGATATTAAATTATCATTATTTATTTAAGAAAAAAGATTTATCAATAATAATATTCATTCTACATATAATTAAAACTATGATTGAGCGAGCCATTCTCATTGAACTAATACTGATTTTCTACTCTCAAGAATTTTAATAACAAAATTCCAAATAACATTTGAAAAAAACATTAACCAATTTGATGTTAGACTTCATTATCTAATTTTTTTTTTAAGATAAAAATAATATTTTACATTATCAGATAAAACAGAAAAAACATAGAATTATTTTATAATTATAAATTAAATTAACATAAGATCTAATATCTTAAAAACAGACTATTGAATTCCTCTATATTATTTAATTGCTTCATTGCTACACCAAAATATTTTAAACGACAAGAAAGCTTTTCTGAGAAGAGTGTTGATCAAAATTGTCTAAAAATTGTTATATAAAATGCTTTTTAGGTTTGTGAAGATATTATTAACACACTCAAAAATGTTAGCTTTTATAAATAATTTTATCAAATTTCAAATTAATAAGTATGATTAATTAATCATACTGGTCCCAAACATTTTTTTAATTACATATATTTCTTTATTTATCAGCTATAAATTATTTTTTAGAATCATCCCTCATAACAAATTGAGTTGTCAACTTAATTTATTAAAATGATACAAACCTATTTAATTAACTTACAAAATAGATAATTATATAATTAAGAAAATGACTATTCAATAAAAACTTGCGGACCATTATTTCAAAACTTATTTAAAATTTTAAGTATTGACTGAAGGTGAGAAGTGGGTGCTCTTCTGTCTGTATTGTTCGGCTCGTCTAGGTGTAAAAATTATAATGACATCTAAAGTACAGATCCAAAAATTGTTATTTTCTTAATTAGATAATTTTCTATTTTATTAGTTAATAAAATATTTACGCTACCATTAAAAGTAAAGTTAACACCCTACAAGTTGTAAGGAGTGATCCTAAAGAGTAATTATCAACTGATCAAATAATAATAATCAAAAATTATTTTTCCAATATTGTATTTTGCAAGTAATCGGGTGATTAAACCGATCAATGTGTACAGTGAGTCAGGTAAATATTCGGACATTGTCTGGGAAAAATAATCTACCAGTTGTATTGCCATTACATTACAGACCTTTAAGTATGGTTTAATTACTCATTATAAATCAATATTTATTAACTGAATATATAGCAATCTTAATAAAGCTATTTATATTTATTTTAATGATCGTTGCTAATAAATGTTCAGCCATCCCTTAATGAGCAGTATTCAAACTTATGTTAAATTATTTGTAATAGGTATGAATAAATAACGGCAAAATTATGATTATGAAAAAAAATTCCTGTACTTAAAAAAAATACTAGTAGATAAACCTGTGAGTAGATAACATTTTATAATACTTCGTTTATAACTGACGAAAACGGACTAAAGATTACAATTTTACATAATGATAAAAATACTATTAATAAGACAATGAGCAATTCTGATGAGTTCTTGCACGACTGTGAATCTGCTCACGTATATTTTTGTGCATTTCACTGTTTTATGCTTCCCTTTCTTCCAACAAGCAACAAACTGGATTAGTTTAGACGATTATCGTCGTTGCTTTCGTTCTACTCCACCACGAAACACAACACTTTTACCCAGCAAACCATCGACACTAACTGAGATGATAATCTCGGCTGCGATAATAATAATGCTCAGTGTTAAACCCATAAATATAACTATGTGCGTAAAGTCGTCAGACTCTATCGGATTGCACGAACCAGTGCACCAGAAAGGCTTTCAAAAAACAGCTCAAAATTAATAAAACAATCTAACTCGTAACATTTTTTAAAAAGTGTAAAATATTTAGAACTTTACTGTACGCCATAGATTAGATTAAATTATTTTTTTATATCAATGAGAATGATAATTTTGCCTGTGTTGACTGAGTTATAATCGGGCAACTTTTGTTAAGTTTACATTCGAGTGCATAATTTCAATTTTTAAATACGCTTAAACATCGCATGGCCTACAACGTNGTTTAAATACGCTTAAACATCGCATTGCCTACAACGTACTTAGAAGTGGGTGAGGTGATAATAGGAGGGAATCACCAAGGCCACAGTTGTAAAAAATGTTAACACAGAATTTTAGGTACACAAATGTATACCACAAGAACTGTTAATGAAGCGCCTGTTTATATTATGAGAAGTACTCACCTTCTTCTTCTTGAAGGAATGAATCCAAAAGGTAACCGAAAACCACCGGTCGAATTAGAAATAGTAGGCACAGCAGCGACATTGGGGAGATGATTGGGATGCTGAAAAGTGGGTAATAAAGCAGCCTGAAGGTTAGTTCGGGCGGTAATTTCACATCCACCACCGACGGTAGTGTAAAGTGGCGGAGGCAGATGCGAGTTGAGCAGTAGGTCCGGCAGCCTGTCTGAATGATCGACTGGTACAATCATAGTACCATGTGTGAAAGACTGTGCTGGCACAGGCAGATGGACGCGCCGCTGTTGTTGACGACGTTCCCGTCGCTCACGACGTCGCTGTTCTCTGTAGACAGATGAACAGGCCGTCTCGTCCGTCTGTGCCTCAGTTGAAGCGTACGTTCGTTCAGCTGCATGAGTTGACGGTTTAATGTCGGACACCAACGAATGATTCGGTGTTGTATCTAACGTAGAAACTCCGCCGTGCATTGTGTTGCTATCGCTCGAATTATTCATCACGATACGTACTCGACCGACATTTTTGCGGTTCACGTTCTCGTAATAGTCTTCGTTTTCGACGTTATCGCAACACCAACGATCACTATCACAAACACTCACACCAACACCAACGCTACCAGGACCGATAGCAGTACGTGACGGCACTGAAACTAACGACGAACGGCGATCACTCAACAACAGTGTTTGGATCGACTGCGAGTGCGCAGCAGCAATCGAGTCCTGTTTTCGGCGATGAAGGCGCGGCAATAGCGATCCAAGCGGTGGTAATCCACAACCAGTTGAGTCAACCGATAAAATAGAATCTGGGTCATCCATGGAACACCAGCAAGATATCGTACCATCTTCAATGCCTTCCAACAGATAGCACACTGATGACGAACACAAGTCTTCCGACCTGAAATATAATATAAATTATGAGTCTATACAGACATTTAAACATTTTTAAATACTTAAAACGTGCATTTCTAATTTTCCAATTTCAATTTTTTTTTTAAATTAAAAAATATGAAAGAGAAAAACTAACTACGGTGTAAAAAAATTATTATATTTCAACGGGTTACGGAGATTGCCACGAACAGATAATGCTCCGACTATCATATACTCCCACATTGTAAAAAAATCATCCGAGTACATTTATTCCGACAACAATTACTGCGAATACCTGGTTTCTAAAATGTTTGATTTTGGTACGATGACAGTTACTCCGAGTAGGATAATTAATTGAATGTTTCGAATAAAATTTACTCCGAATATCGTTTAATAAAATTATCATATTTTGGAGTAGATTAATATCGTAGCAATATAAATAATTAACATAAAATAGTGTTATAATTGTTTACAGTCTACTATCAATTAATTTTTACAATAAAGATCGTCGAAGTGTATCTGACTTTTAGGTTATTGTAGGTATTTTAGGGTAAGGAAGAGGGCTTTAAGCTAAATCAAACTTATATAATTGGCGTGAGCCCTTAAAATTCTTATTTTTTGGAGAGATAAGAAGAGAGATTTCAATTTTCGGACTTTAATTCTTTTTTGCCTCTCCTTATTAACGCCTATTATTAACACCTCTGACATTTTATTAGTGATCGTGTTCTTGTTTATTGATTTGTAAAAAATTAGGGGTACGTGTCACTGATAATAGGATTCGGCATTAAACAGATGTTTTGTAATGGTCTTCGGTATTCTATTCTCTAAAACTGTCATTCCAATTAGTCTTGCATAAAATCAAACAAAAATATATGACTTAGTATTATTTCATTGTGTAAAGGTGGACAAGTCAACGAAATTGATTAAATCTAGTCAGAATTCGATTTTATGATTAATCGCAAACCGGAGAGACTTGATGCTGCTTAGATTCCTAAAATTCTGCTATTTCCCCCTGAAAATAAAATAAGTTATATTTCTTGTTGTAAAGAAATATTTTTTAAAGAAGGTATAAAATTATGTAAATAGAGCTCACAAATATTTTGTTGCAATACGCCTACACTCTAGTCAATATAAGTGAGCACAAGGTAGTTATAAGTTTACAGTGGAGAATAGTTGATGATTATACATAAAATTATTTAAATTTTCATTTAAAGTAATTAGATTTAAACTTAACTAACTTAAATATATATTGTCGAATCAATAAAAAATGGTTAAGATATTTTTTAATTTGTATGAGGATTACCTGAAGTTGTCAGTTATACGTATACAGTTAAATATTTTAACTAATAAACATAATTGGTAATCATACAGGTATTGATTTTTTTCTCGTGAAATATAAATCAAATAAAATAATGTAATATTAAAACAATACAAAATTTTATAAGATATACATATATGGCATTGCATTTTCACAAAACATAGTACATTACATTATTATAAATATAATAAATTAAAACATTTAACCTTTTGTGTAAATACATTTTATAATTATAACTTTTTAATGAATTAATTCATGACAATATGAATTTTTATTTTATAAATTTATAAATTTTATAAATGTGTTTGTATTTTATGAAAAACGATTTGAGAACTCAAATAAGGCGTAATAGTGACCTAATATACTAAAATTACTATATTAATTTACGTAATGAATTAAAAAATATTGTTGTTAATTAATAACTAAGTTAATTCAACTTGAATATTACACTGTTACTAGATTTTGAAAACTCCATAGCTAGACGATTTTTTATTTAAATTACCTTACAATTTCTCATAATGATATAACCATTCATTTCATAAAAATTATGTGAATTTCATACTAAATGTAATTACTATAATAATTATATATTCATATATTATATGGATAAATCAATGAGCACTAATCAAGATATAACAAAAATTGATCACTTGCGGCTAATATTATTTAAAATTAAATCTTTACTAAAAGTATTACCTAAAAAAAAAAATGTTTAACTCAAAAAGTCATAAAAAAAATTACTAAAAAATCATGGATAGGTAGTTAAAAACAATGTTACTATTATCAACGCTAAACACATACTGACACCCTAACCGGGTAAACCCCTTATATACTCCTAGTGACTTTATCTCCTATAGACGTATTCGATTAAAACTATAAAACTAATCTAAATAAAACTGTAAAACTATCAATTTCATACTAATTATAATTACTATAATAAGTATATATTCAAATATTATATTTGTAAATCAAATAACAAATAATCAAGATATAATTAAGGAAATAGAAGTTGATATTGCTTTTAGATTAATTCACCAATCTGCTGAAGTTTAGCACTATCTAAAAATTTGCATTGAAGCATTTCTTATGATGATGATTTTAATCACCCTCAGTTATCAATTATGCTTGCCTCACTTATGCGATGTCCTCAATGTACTACCGTTTTTGTGTTTGTTGTCTATTTTTTTGTTTATGTTTTCTTAGTGAATAAATTAACATTTAAACATGTTTTTTTTAAGCACATACTTTAACTTAGACTTCTTTTTATTTAATTAAATGTTAAAATTATGCTAACTACAAATGAGTGGCTCACTATACTATACTACACTGTAGTACATTTTTACTACTAATAATTGGAATCATTACGATTTTAACTTGAAAATTAAATTTTTAATAAATATTATATATGACTAACCTTTGAACGGTAGACAAACTAAGCGAAGATCTTCTAGATAAAGGTCCATTTCGTCTAGAACTATTAAGCCAAATAGTTACATCACCATCATCGTTGAAAAAATTTGTTGATGATTGGCATTCGTATGGTTGCCACAAAAGGGATGATATGGCACGTTCATAACTGCTAGAAAATGTTCGATTTTTTGATGAGCCAAAAGTCCATGTGTGTGGTCTTGGTTTTTGCTGCTTAACTTCATTATTAACAAAATGAGGCAGTCGTTGTACTATATCATGACGACAACATGTACAAGTACCACCTTCATGGCCAGCTTCATTATTGGTTATAGTATAAACTGCAGTTGTTGATAGGCGCTTTCTAGTTTTGTAATTGATGGCAATTGACGAAGAATGAAAATCTCCGTCATCACTGTCAGAGTTGTTATTGTTATCAAAGACTTTATTCATAATATGAATTTTAACCAATTTTTTTCAACCAGAATGTTTATAGTATTTTCTTTCTAAAATAATTAAATAGAAGAAATAATAATCAATTTTTAAAACAATCAAAATGTTTACAAACATTATTAGTACAAAAATTTATAATAAACATCTAAGCCACATAAGTTACTCTTTTGTGTTAAGGTAGACTGAAACACTTACGGGGTAATTGATTTTTTGCTGACCATTAGATTTCTTCTAAAATAATAATAACTTTATGAACATATATTTTTTTTTTTGCTTATTTAAGTAACTATGCTATGCCTAGCTGAGGTTTCATTCCAGATCCGGTGCCCACTGGGCTTAAGAGCCTGTGATGCATTAAGCACTTGGAGGTGTCTTTACATATAGACCACTAATTCTGATAGAAGTACAGTGATACGCCGGGTGCGATATATGTTATGTAAAAAAAATATTGCTCCCTAAGCAGTTTGCCAGAAAAATAGTACCATTTGTAAATTATATAATAATTCAAAAAATAACATGACTAAAAACTATACGCGTGGACCAATAACAAAATTGTAAAAATCCATACATTTTCAAAAAGTTTTTGCAATATAAAGCCGAAAAAATACGACATATAAATAATAATTTTAATACAAAAATTGTATGTTTTGTAAGCTTTTATAAACATATGTTTGAAACTCAAAGTATTTCCGGATCATTTTCAAAAGTTAATTTGAAAAGGTCAAAAAAAAAAGGTCAATTTTATAAAATAGTAGCAATTTTGAATCCCCAATTTAAGAGTAAGATTTTCAAAAAATAATATCTAAAAAAAAGGAATTTACTAAAGTATTTTTTCTTAAAGATACTATGATTCATCTATTTTTCAAAAAATTATGACAATGATAAGTAAAAAAGTTAAAAAAATGTCGAAATTTACCGGCTTTAAAAATTATAATTTTTTATGAGATATGTTTTTGGAATTTTCCCCCATTTACAGGGAACGAAAGATATTTTGTCAATTTTTAAGGACAATACCTTCAATTATCTACAATTTATGATATCATAACGTATCGTTGAAAGAAATCGGTCGATGAAGCTGAGAAAAAATGGCTACAAACATACAAAAAATATATCATAGTAAAATCTATACCTTCTCTGCTTTGTATCGAAGCTAAGTTCAAATAATGATGTTCTATTGTTTAATAATCACATAATAAGGATGTGTAATAAAGCTCTTCGAGTATTCAGTTTTATAAGGTGTAATTGTTCAGAATTTTAAAATATTTATATCCTTAAATTATTATATTCCACTCTAATCTGATCCATACTAAAAAATGATTCAATTATTTTCAATCCTCATCAAACTAGATTAATTAATAAAATCAAACACGTTCAAAATCGATTTTTGAGAGTATATGCATTTAAGACCAGTAAAACTAACGTTTTGCTAGAAGAACTAGCAAGAGCATATAACATTGAGTTGTTTGAAAATTATACGATGTGATTTGGTTATATAAATCACTAAATTATTTAATTATTTTCCGTGAATTACTCATCCTTATATTATTAAATGTCCCTCAAACTAATACTCATGTATCAAAAACGTTCTATACACTTACTTATCGTCAAAATTTTCTCCAATCGACAGTATGTTATTTTCAAGTAATTCTGTATTTTTGACTTTTTCTATAACAATTTAACCTTGTTAAAATGACTGATGCAATTTTTAATAGTATATTTGAATGTTTTAGTATATGTTATGTGTTTAACAGTAAAATAATTTGTACTATCTTCAAATTCATTATGTATCCATATTTGTATTTTTACAGTACTTTGTGACAATTGGGCGTTAGTTACCAAATAAATAAACACATTATAATAAAATTAGTATGTTCTCAGCTTTATATCTAAGATAAAATTAAGCTGGTTCTTTTATAAGCGATAAGTAACGGACCTAAAAAAGATTTATCTATTTATAAATTGAGAAATTAAACATCTTTTAATACAGGATTACTTTCTTATCATAACTCATTTAATTACTCCGAAATAATAATAATTTACACATTTTATTGGTTACATATTATTTTTTAATTATTAGCTAAATAAGTTCATACCTTATGCCTTATACGGCCTCCGAAGTTAAACAAAAAATGTTATTTTTGTGTAAAATATTATCGTTATTATTGTCGTTACATATTTTTTTATCAATTAATTTGTCTAAATTTTAAGTCAAACGATATAGTCCTATAAGAGGGATTGTGTAATTACTAAATTTAATACCCATTTTACAAAAAAAAAATGATTTAAATGTTAGTTATAAATATTTTCAGATAAAATATTGGTAAATTTTAATGGTAGTAAAATATGTATATAAAAAGGAAAGGGGCTCCCTTTCATAATTTATCTAATCAAATTTTCTGCAAAAGAGTTTTAGCATAAAATAACACAGGTATTATAAACCCAACGGGTCAAATATTCTGGAAATCACTGATGACATATCTCGTTTATTTTATGCTATTTTTATAGCACTTACGTCATAGGTAAAACAATTCAAGTTGAGCTATTCCAATCTGATCCGAATTTAGCCCAGTTCAAAAGTCGCATAATGACATAATATTAATTTAATGTTTTGAACCGGACTAGGTCGTGCCGTATCGTAAATGGATAGAATCGGCTCAAAACAGGCAAGATCATATATTGATATTACATCGTGTACATTCGTACTAATTATATATAAAGGGAGAACATGCCCTTCAGGAAAATTATACTATTTTTAGTCAATTTTTTGCGTTGATTTTAAATCTTAAATTAATTTTTTTCTATCGCCTTTAATTTTTTATTATTACTAATTAGTTAAAAACAAGTATTAATATATAAAAAATATAGGTTAAAATGAAAATCAACAACTCATATGTGAAACTAGGCATCTAATATTTCTGAATATTAGTATATTATAGTATAACAATGTATATAACTGTGTATTATTATATTAACAATGTATAAAAAGAACATAGTTATTATACATTATAGTAACAGAATATTTTAATTGTAGCATCTATTTTAATACCAAGAGTTATATAGAATTTAATTTTTCTATTATAAATTAACATTTAGCTTCGATGCGAAGCTGAGAAGATATTAATTTTACTATGATGTGTTTTTTCTATTTTTATGTCTGTTACACTTTTTCTCGGCTCTAACGGGATCGATTTCTTTCAATGACACATCAAAAGATCACAAATAGTATCTAGTCGAAGACATTACCCTCAAAAATTGAAAAAATTTCCCTCGTTTCCCGTAAATGGGGGAAATCTTCAAAAAATTACAAATTTAAAAATCGCTAATTTTCGACTTTTTTTGATTTTTTTACTTAAAATTGCCATAACTTTTTTAAAAATAATCAAATCGATAAAAATTTTTCTTTATAGACGCATGATGTCTTCACCTTACATTTGGTATATTTTTTTATAAATCTGACTCTTTACCTGACCACAGGATGATTCAAAATAACTTTTTAACAAAAAATTAACTTTTGAAAGTGTTCCGAAAATACTGACACTTTTATAAATATCTTAAAATTAAAAATTAAAACTAATGTAATATACTTAAATATTAAAAAAAAAATGTCGGACTTTATTTTGTCTTCACGACGAAAATAGACATCAAAGTAAATAAAAAAATGCGATTTTTGTAAAAAAAAAATTTTTTATATTTTTAACTTTATAATGCTATAACTTTTTGATAAATGTTTTGAACAATACAATTTTTTATTTATAATATTTATTTATTCATATATTACACTTATAAATAATAAAACTTGTATCAGAATATAAATAAGGAAATAGGAGATCATAAAGTTTTTGGAATAATCTATTAAATTTTTAAAATTAAGCATTATCTACAGCATTGCATCAAAGCATTTTTTATGATAGAGATTTTAATCAAAGTCGTAAATCATTTATACTGGACCCAACTATGTCCTTATTGTGCCACAACCCCACTGTGCTGGGGTTTTTTTTTCATGAGGCGACCTATTGGTATTGCCATGATAAAATTACCAATATCTATGCAAGCCACTACCACAGATATCATAGATGACAACAGAAATGTTGGTACTAGTCCATTTTTTGTATAATCCATAATCGGAGACGGCCATCCTAATGTCATGCCAGCCATAAACATTGGTATTGCAACTGTAGAATACCAAATAAATATTCGGTAAAATTATTACAAAAGAAGTGAAAGAAAGAATAATTGAAACCATTATTAAAATAAAAATAATGCATTAATTTACTATAAAAAAGTATTAATATAATATATACAGAAATAATTGTTTTTTTTTAGTTTTTAAATTTATTTCATTTACTCATTTTTTTTTTTATTTGGTGTCAATTATTCATCAATGTAATGCTGCGTGACATGATTTTCATGATCATCAGCTGTGTATTGTAATGACAAACCAACGCAACAGGCAAGAGTTTCTTTGAACCAGTCGTATGTTTTGACATGTATAGTCATTACGATATACAGTAACTCGTTACGGACAACTTTATAACGCGATCAAATAATAATCACTGACGTAACTTCTGAACCAGCACCGATAACCTAACTTTGTGTAGGAACGTATATAAAACTCAATATTTACAATTTCCAGGACGAACAAAAAATCGATTATTATTATTACATATCATTTTTTATTTTTGTGTTATCATACTTGAATTGCTAAGTTCAGAAAGGAATTATGTCAAATTTTTGGCAAATTTATTTTACTTCACAATTTAGTCCCATACACGCAGAGGAATAATGAGTGTATTAAGAAGACATTAAGAAAACATTAAGTTTAAAATTTGTTGATTGAAGAAAAAACGTATAATAAACATACCCCGTTTCTGCACTTATTTAATCTTAATTTAATTCATTTAAGATTTTAGCTTTTATTTTCGTTTTACTCAACACAGATTTTATTGTTAAATTTTTTATTATTTTTGAACTGATATTGAAATAAACATTTTCTAATGAAAAATTATATCAAAATTATGCAAAAATCAAAAATTATACCAATTAAGACCTTCATTTCTAAAAATATTAGCTGAATTCAGAAAAGAGATATATACATGTAAAACGTCTGCTGTGGATTTACAATAACAGTAAATTTCAATCAAGTATAATATTTTTTATAGACAGATACAGTTAAGTATAAAGGATACTTAATCATTTATATATACATTGAAGGGAAAATAATCATTTCATCACAATAACGCTATTACAAGAATTAGCCGTAAAGACAATACGATAATTTTCATACCAAATAGTCATTTTCAAAAAAATTGTAGTTAGAGCTATTGCTACTTAAGGATTAATATTCCATACATAGGATGGCATTACACGATCGCATCAGTCAGTTAACAATTTTATCAACAGATAAGTTTAAATTATGGCAGTAATGCATTTTGTTGTGAGTTTATAAATACACCAACTGGTAATACAGAAAGCATATCTAATGATAAAGATAATTGATGATAAGTCTTGTGTATCTGCGAATATCCGACGTCACAAAAAAACAATTAGCTATCTATATTAGTAATCCTTCATATATTATACATGTATATTACTTAAAAAAATTTAAAATTTAAAGTTTTATATCTTGTTTGATATTGGGGAAAATAGGAGATACTTTTGTTATAGAATAGGTAGAAGGCGGTCCAACGTAGGTTTTGCATTGTAAGTTAGTCGTAAACCGGACATCGAATGATAAGTCCGGCGCACCTAAAGTTTTATTCGGATGTGAAATGTGAGTTATATCGCAAAAAAATACAGTCCACATTATTAAGAAAAAATAGAGTGTTCTTTGTTAAATTTAAAATACCGTAAGCTACCGACCAAAGTGGCTTATGCGCCGAAGGCGCGTGAGTCTTGTAAGACCTGAGGCTGAGCCCTAAATGGCCGGAGCCTAGTTACAAATTAAAATCAACAATTTTAATTCGAGTATTTTATTTACCACAACAATTTACACAAAGAAGATAAGTTGTGGGGATAAATTTTTTTTTTCAAATTTAAGTAAATTCATTATTTATCATCATAAATCATTTTTTTAAGATATATGTAAAGTTTTAATATTTTCGAAAAATGTTCAAAAGTTAAATTGAAAAAGTTTTATATTCGTTTATTATATGAAAAGATTTAACGATTTAAATTTAGACCCCTCTGTAATAATGAAAATAGTTCCATTGAAAAAAAATCAGCATGGATGAAAAGGGTATAAAAAGTACTCATAAAAAAAATTGTATTGATCTCTACATTTTTCAACAAATTATAGAAATTTCATATTTAAATAATAAAATTGAAAAATTCAACACAAAAATGTTATGTTTTTAACTACGGTAGCCATTTGCACATAAATGATAAGTCGTCATCAGATAGTTAACGCAAAAAGTTACCTCCTCTTGTCCAATAAATCGTACAACGACGAGTGACCGTTGATGGCGTTAACCGGTACAGCAGCGATGGCGGTCAACAGCTCCTTCAAGAAAACTATACATGTATAATTTATTACATCTATGATTTCGTCAAAATTAAAATGGGAAAAATGTTTTGACAATATTTTTTTTTAACTAATTGGTCGTTGAAAAATTACAAATATTTCGCTTTGTTGTAACTTTTTTAAATATTCACCAATCTCGATGAAAAATTTATCAGTAATACTTAAGACAAATACTGAAATTTATTTTGCAAGTTTTTTTAGTTTTAGGTTTTTATATAGAAAATATTTGTTTTTGTTTATAAATAAAGCTCGGAGTTATGTGCATTTAGCATTTTTGTTTGAAGTATTTTAAAAAGACTGAAGCAACAAAAAAAAAAATCGTTTTAAGGCAAATAAACTCCTAAAAGTCCCCACACAATTTTATTCCCTGTTATTTATCTTGTTACTTAGGTTTCAATTAAACTAATCGAAATTCATACTGATAAACGAAGTATTCAAAATAACTGAATAAAATTAACAAATGCATTTCATTTCGTTATTTAATAAATAGAATAGATACAACACAATAGAAAACAATATTTATTGAAAGAAGTACTTAAATTAAAATTAGACAGACCTACTTACATATCTCAGTCGGCAAGACATGTGCCATGACGCATAGGTATTACGATTCGATTCAATTGAACTGGGCTATATAGGTTTTCTGGTCCTCTCTGGTATATTCAAAAGCTTATAGAGGAGACGTTAAACACGATTAATAACAAAAGTCTGTGAGTTACACAGATAATTCCAAAGAAGTTATTAATGAAATAAATATATGCTATGACACGTCCCCCCGTCGCTTGGTAATACACGATGCCCTGCGCCACCTTTAATAGCCGTCGCCCTACTTTGAGCATTTGACTGATCAACACCGCTGGCCATACGCCACGGTGCAAAGTCCAGCAAGTGCCGCACGGTCGACGACGATCCGCCGCAAATGATACGTTGAGTCTTCATAGCGCTGTCAAAGTGACAACGTCGAGGTTGTACGCCACCGGCTCCGGACGTGTCGCACGACCGAACTCGACGAACCGTCGCCCTCAACCTTTTGACGCTCGAGGATCACACCGGACACCACGTCGCAGACGCCAGTAAAAGTGCCGCGATATCATGCAAAGATTATTATTAACTGTGTTCGTCTTTTCGGTTTGTTTTTTTTTTTTTAATAACCAGTTGTTTCTTTTATAAATTAACGGCCCACGGGTCCTTACCCTCAAAACCAGAATCGACTACAATATTTCAATATAAGTCGTGTCAGCTATATTAGATAATGTACCTTAAAAGTTTTAGATTTTCCGTAATTTTATTTCATTCCCCCGCGTTTCTCTAATATAATCTGGTTTGCCTGTTGACAGTAAATAAATTACAACGTCAATGTATTTTGCTCTTGTAAAGTATATACAATTGAGATAACAATGAAGATTAAAAAGGAAATATCACTTAATCCATTATATATTATCAGCGTATCTTTTCTTTTGGGCTTTATAATGACTTATATCGAAGCTTACTTTAGACCATGTTTGTTGAAGCTATTACAGTAGCATTAAATTATATCAAATATTGAGGTTTTAATTATTCCTTAGAAAACTAATGAAGGCTTAACAAATTTTATGACATCATAAATATTGTTGCAAATAAACAGATATTATTATCTAATAATATTTGTTTATTTGAAACAAGATAAACAAGATTTTCAAAATACAAAAAAAGTCTTAATTGATCGTTTTGTATTGCTTTATATTGTACAAGTTATTATTTTAACATTAGCCACTCGATTTCTTTTGAAATAACAGTAATGCTAAGAATTAAATTTCTCAATTTATCAGTTGATAATACTTAATTAATATATCCCTAACACCTTATAAAATTATTAGCTTCATTTTCTAAATGAAAAAGTACATATTTAATTAGCAAATAAAATTAAAAATGATCTATTAGGAAATGTTCTTCAACAGTTTTTAACCCATTATTTCAGAAATTGAAATTTTAAAATATAGAACTCTGGCGTTGCGTTTTTATTAGTAACAGTAATTAATAACCGAGAAATCTACAAATAATAAAAATGTACGAATAAAAAAATACCAATATTTTCTAAACATAATTATAAAATAAATCAATAATTTTAAGGTAAATTGTGCGTTAAGTAATCATCCTGTATTAATGAAATTATTTCACGATACTATTTAAATGTAATTAACTTTGTTTGATTCCCTCTCGAGTTACAAGAAAGAACCACAATATGATAAAAGATCTTCATTAACATATTAAAAAAAATTACATAATATTTGCACACCATAATACATAAGTAATTAAGAATCTTAAGCTATTATACATCAAATAATCATAGATTAAAACTAAATATATATTGCACAATAATTCATAATACATTGTTAATTTTATTATTTTGTGTTCCATTTTTATATCTAACTGAATTTTAAGTTCACAAAAATGAAATAATCTGATTTTACTAATACCACTTTCGTTTCAATTGATTTTAATCTCAAAACCTTTAAATATATAAGTATAATGACGTTGCAGGAAAATTGTTCTAAAAACAAAAAAAAAATTTCTACATTAACTAGCAGTATTTATTAATAAAAATATTAAATTATTTCTATAACAACTAAATGTGGTTAACGATAACTAACATTATATTATAAATAAATTGTCAATATTGTACTTATACGTATATAACACTACTACTGATTTAGATTTATTCATAAATTCAACATTTTATTAATTCTTTGTAAATAAAATTTTAAATTGGTTTAAGTTTGTAAAATTGTATGCTTGTAAAGCTGTTATCTTTTTACAAAGCAATTTCAATAAATATAATTTAAACTATCAAGTGAAATAAGAAGGGGACACAGTTTAAAAAATCTTAGATGAATTTAATACGTATTTGTTGTCCATCGAATGTATAATGTTGGCGACAAAGTTAAGATACCATAAATAATAATTTTAATTATCACATCATTTTTTTTTATTTACACATAATGATTAAATTATTCTTATAATTTATTGCATTAGCTACTGGTTAAACCAAGAGAATTTTTTGTTATATTATATGTTAGTAGTAAACAACGTAATAATTCACGAGTGAAGGAGGCAAAAACAAACTAATCTTGTTCACGCCCACAGAAATTTTAATGAATTTTAAATGACTATAATATGCTACTGGTTTAACAGAATTCACCATTAATCGAAATTAAACTCTTCTTTGGGTAGGAAGTAAAAACGCATGTCCGTTTTCCAAGAACATAAACTGGACTGTTTGGATAAAACAAAAAAATTAACTGTTTCTATACCGGTAATTACATTGGCGTCAACGTGGACTAACCCGACCGGTCAGCCGGATCTTCAAGAAACTGAGCGACATGAACAGTCTTCTTCATTTTCAGGGGCTACAACGGCAAAAACAACAATTTTGCAGGCAGCACATCACAATACATTGGCCACCAAGATAAATATTGGCTTTTTCAATAAACCCGCCGGTCGTCAATATGTAGCAGCTTTTATTGGTAAGTAATAAAATGTATTAGGTTTATATTTTGATCTATATCAACATTTTTTAAATTTTCATCCAATATAGTTTATGTAGGTAAAATCATCTTATTCAAAATATGAAAATGCGTTAACGCTATTGAAATACAAAAATCATAAAATAATATTACTATAAAAATTATGAACAATTTAATTTTAAAATATTAATACATTATTCGTGTATTTCTCTCAAATCACAAGACATATATTACTGAATATAAAGTCTAACAGAAATTAATAAAATACAAACAGTTGTGCGCTGTTACAGATAAGATAATTTGTAATAAATCAGATTAATTACTGTAATTATACTTTTAAAAAACACAGTAATATTAATAAATTATCCGTATTTCAAAATAAATTTTATTTTAATAACTATTTCAGCTTTATTCATGGCTTAGACAGTTTTAGTTGGTGAATTGTTGCAACAAAATCCAAATCAATTTTTGACAGCTTTTTAAGAGAAACAAAACTTACATATAATTTCTACTTAAATGTTGAAAAATAAAGACTTACATTACAAGAGTTGAAACAAAACCTAGACTCTCCTTTCTTAACACAAAACTTTTTAAATATTTAGAACACGAATCAAAATAGGAATTTATTTTCAAAAAACCAAGTATCGGAACCGAAACTGAACTTTAAAAAAAAAATGTTTTAGCTAGCAAACTTTTTTAATAATTATTTAATAAATTACTATTAACGATCATCCTTTTTATAAAAATATGGTGGTTTTGTAGAGTTATAAAGGCTAAATTTCATTTTCTTCTCTTTCTATAAAATATTTTCAACTAGTAATAAAATTGATTTTTCTGAATTTAATTTAAAAATAAAAATTATACCGAGCATTTTTTTTTGTTTCTATTAGAACCATATTTTTCTTAAATTATCAATCATGAACTATTTTATTGTTTATTTCTAATACCTTATAACAATACCGCCTTAATTTTTTCACATACATAATTAGCTATTTTATTTATAAAATAGTAATTTATTTAAGAATGTACCCAACTCAATTCGTGACATAGAAGCCCTGTATATATATATATATATATATAATATAAACAAAATTGTAATGCACATGGACGAAAAAAAAATTCAGATCAACTATGAAATATCTAAAAGCAAACTTAGTAAACATTTCAGGTTTTAAAACGCTAGCAGCAATTTCAATGATCTTTCTCGAAAGATGTATCTCATAAAAATACATTTTATAACGCTTACAGAACACTAAAAAAAATTCTTATCTTGACAAATAATTTTTCCAAAATAATGTGCACCGAGCTCTTGCATTAAATTAAAAATCTAGCTCAGAGGGTTTGAAACATAGTAGACACACGGCATGGTTGGGACAAGTATAAATGATATTTGACAGTAATTACTAGTGATGGGCATTTTTGAACATTTTAAACTATCGAAAAACTATTCGAATTGTTTTTATACAACCTAATAGATTATTTTTAGCATAAACTATCGAATAGTTTTAAAAAATATTCGAATAGACTATCGAATAGTTTTAAAAACTTTTCAAATAGGCTACCTAATGGTTTTAAAAAATATTCGATTAGTTCTATCTAAAATTTTTATTAAGTACACTTAATTATAATAAGAAGATAATTAGCGAATACTTAAAATAGATTATTATACAATTAATAATAATAAAAATTAGTGATCGGCATTTTCAAATATTTTAAACTAACGTATAACTATTCGAATTGTGTTTATACAACCGAATAGTTTATTTATAACATAGATTATCGAATAGTTTTAAAAACTTTTCGAATAGACTATTGAATAGTTTAAAAACTATTCCAATATATTGTGTAACAATCGAATATTTTTACTATTCGAATATTTTTTGAATTACTATCAAATAGTTCAATAGTTACTATTGAATATTTCCCATCACTAGTAATTACCATGACTGCCGTAAAAAACGCTTAGATGCGAGTCTGTTAAATTTCGTAATAATTTGTATATTTGTAATTACACAATTTCTATATTTTAAATTTTACTAAAATATTAAATACTTGTTAAAATATTTACTTAATAAAAAAAAATAATTTCTTTTGATGTATTAATCATTAAAATGAGAGTTGAAAATTTTCAAGGACGAACACAAAAAAACAACGAGCGTAGGAATAATGTAACATCACAATAGTCTCTTACTGATAAAAAGTTCCGAGTAAATTATTCCAGTAAGAATAAAGATAAAACCCTTAAAATGTGGACCCTACATAAATAGGAGCTGACATAAGGCTAATCACTCTACTCGTAAAAAGATTTTATATAAATACTCGTAATCTCGTACTCATAAAAGTAGACCAACGTAATATATTCAGTGAAATCTTATTGTTTCATGGGCAGTCATAAAAAAACATATCATGTTAAAACCAATACCTTCTCAACGTCAATCATTAAGTAATTTAAAATGTCTATAATTTTTTTGTAAAAATTGGATCAGTGAAAAAAAAGTATGAAAAATCCTGAAATGAACGCTTTAGTGCCGTAGTCATGTTGCAGTTCTGTTCAGCTAATATTTGACTTGTGTGTGTGTGTAACAATCGATCAAGGCCAAAAAAATATATAAACAGAATCATAATTATTGAAAATTATTGTTTTAATGCGTGAAGTTCTAATTTTAATGGAGTAAATCATTTATACTACTAATAATATAAAATACTTTTAAAAAAATTTAGAAAAAAGTATAAATATCATACCTCCCCTTTTAGTTATGTGATTCCATCAAATAACATTATTTTTAAAGTATTAAAAAACTTATTTATATTTCAAATACACATACAAATATACCTTATAATATGATTAAGATAATATAATCTTAAATACATTTCAAATAATCAAAATATAAAATATTTTTAATACTAATAAAAAAAAATACTTATTATTTCTTCAAAAAATGTAATAATTTATATTATGAACTAAATTATTTGTAAATTATCATTTTTAGCTTCACTCTCGGTAATGATGGCTGGTACATCTATGGGATGGCCGTCTCCAGTTTTGGCAAAACTAGCATCTGGGGAACTAACTTTTGCTGCGACAAATGAACAAGAGTCATGGATGATAGCATTCTTAGAACTAGGCAATCTATTATCACCATTACCATTTGGCTTTCTAGTAGATTTGGTTGGACGAAAACCTTGTTTGTTATTATGTGGTCCTCTTTACATAATAAGCTGGCTTATGGTTTTATCCAGCAAATCGATTAACATATTGTATTGGGTACGTTTATTACAAGGCGCGTGTATTGGAATTATCACTACAGTAGTCCCTATTTACATCGGTGAGATATCAGGAGATAAAATCCGAGGTGCTTTGAGTACCTTTTTTAATGGTATGTTAAACGCTGGTATATTGTACGTGTATTGCGTCGGGCCTTTAGTATCATACGACTTTCTTACATTTTATTCAATTTTGGTACCTTGTGCATTTATGACAACTTGTTTATGGATTCCCGAATCACCATATTACTACATACTAAGAGGGAATGACAAGAAAGCACACGAATCTTTAGCGTGGTTACAAGGTAATGTGGAAGTGGACGTAGTAGCTAAAGAACTAATACGTATAAAAGAAGAAGTAAATAAACAACAAAATAATAAGGGTTCAATATATGATCTATTTGGTTCACGAGTGAGTCGCAAAGCATTTCTTATCGTACAAATAGTCGCTTTAGCTGACGTTTTGTCTGGAATGACCACTATATTAGCATACGCATCATCCACATTTGCGCACGCCGATACCGTTAACACTTTGTCACCAGATCAGTTCACGATGCTTCTTGGTGTGCTCATCTTTTTCACGACTTTTATCACCGGCTATTTGGTTGACAAGCTTGGACGTCGTCCTCTCTTGTTGTTTTCGTGTTTTGGATGTGGTACTTTTGAACTCATCACCGGACTATATTATTACAAGAGTTGGGGATCATTGGACACATTGGGAGCATGGATACCATTCACGGCTATTGGGTCATTTGCTATCATATATTCAATAGGCTTAGGTCCATTGCTACCTACACTACAGGGTGAAATGTTCCCATCCAACGTTCGAGGACTTGCGAGCGCAATCACTTCGGTCACTTTAACTGTCATATCTTTCGTAGGTCTTAAAACATACCAACTAATAACGGATCAATGGGGTATTCACGTTAATTACTTCATTTATGGTTCTGGTTGTTTGGTCACATTTGCTTTAATTTATTGGTTTTTACCAGAGACTAAAGGAAAGACATTTGGAGAAATACAAGACGAAATAGTAGGTATCAAGAAAACGTCTGTATGTAGGTTGAATTTAAGTTCTAGAGAACTAGATAATTATCACTGTTCACATGATTAATTTTATGTGAATTCAGCCAAGTTTTGGTTATTTTATTTGTAATATAATAACTTTAAATTCTTGTTGATAGTATATCTTTATTTAATTAGTTAAACATAAGTTAGTAAAAAACAAACATTTATAAACAAAGATTCTCAAAGTTATTTGTTAAAAATTTTAATTATACTATTATGTTAACTAAGAAGGAAATTTTTTACCGATTTTTTAGATTTTATACGAATCTGAGAAGATATTAAGTTTACTATAATGTGTTTTTTCTGTTTTTATGTCTGTTTCCACTTTTTTTTAGCCCTCACCAAAATGATTTTTTTCAACGATAAGTTAAAAAAATACAAATCGTATCTAAACCAAGACAATACCCTAAAAAATTAATAAAAATCTCTCGATACAAGTAAATGAGGTAAATTCCCTAAAAAATTACAATTATAAGAATCTGTAATTATCGACATTTTTTTAACTTTTTCTTTTCTAAAAACTTCCATCATTTTTTAAAAAATGTACGAAAAAAATTTTTTTTTTATATAAAATAGCATACGTATTTTCCTCGTATAGTTACATCAAACTAAATTATATTGAGTATAAATTTAGACTTATATTGAATATTTGGCCACCTTTAAGTTAAGAAAAACGACTTAATTTTCATACTAGCTTAAATTGTTCTTTTTAGCTATCACTATATGCAATGTACGTTTGCCGAGATGGGTTTAAAATTTTATCACACGTATAGAAAATAGAACTTTTTCGCCATAAATTTTAAAAATATTCCGGGAGTGTTTAGACTATCATATATATCTTTAATTAAATCGTATCTAATTAACTTTAATTTGAAAAAAAAATTGACCTCTGGACTTGTCTTTGTAGTGAAAACTACAAAATTTATAGAAAAGGGTATAAATATTTTGTAAAAATTGAAAAATTAAAAAATTTTAATTAATTGTTGTATTAAGTACTTATTTGAAAGTGTTAATAAGAAATTAGTGAACTCTGCATTGGCGTATTAAGAAAGGTATGAAAGGAGACCAATCTTCTTACTTTTACATGCAAAAATAATTATTTTAACTTTAAACTTACAATAGTTTAAAAAGATTTTTTTATTTTTAAATATCTTAAAAGGGAGAACACTGATTTTTATCAAAATAATATTAATTTTAACTTGCATTGTATATAAATCCAGGGTGATTTTTTTATCATAATCCAAAAGCTACTCACAAATTTAAAATAATTAATCAAAAATTTTTTGGAAATATTGACACTTTACATATATCTTAAATAAATGATTATGTAATATACTTTAATTTGAAAAAAAATGTTATCCCCACAACTTATCTTCTTTGTATAAATTGCTGTGGTCGATAAAATACTCGATTTAAAATTGTTGATTTTATATTGTTACTAGGCTCCGGCTATTTAGGGCTCAGCCTCAAATGCGGAGTGTTACGAGCCTCACGCGGATTTGGTGCATAAGCCACTTTGGGCCGTCCTTATAAGTAAGTAGGCCACTGATTCCGGTAAGAGTACCCTGCCATGTCGGGCATGATAAATGTTTTACAGGAAAACTATTACATCCGAATCAGTATAACACAACTATATTGAACATTTTATTATTAAAATCAGGAAAATTCAAAAAGAAAAAATAGTAAAATGTATTAAGTGTAAGGTTGACGTTTTCTTACTGAGGTTATCGCATATTTTGAATTTAATAATATGTTTTATTTTAATAGTAAAACAACTTTTTTCGTTCATTATATATGGCCGGTAGCTTCCCGACAAAAGTATCTCCTGTTTTTCTCTAATATTAAACAAATCACCCACTTTGATTAACCAAAATCAATATAAAATTTATCTAACAAAACAATATATATATATATATATAAAACACAAAACAAATTACAAAAAAAAAAAAAACCTTTTAAAATAAAAAACATATTACAAAAACATTTAACATTTTGACAAACATTAATTTTAATAAATCAATTGACTTCTATCGGTAATGGACTTAAATTTCGAACTAGTCGTAAATATTCACCAAAAGCTGTTTTTACCCTTGCTGTGCGAATCACGCCATCCTTACCACATATAACACTCAATACTCAGCCCAATCGCCAAACCAGAGGGATGAGATTTTCTTCTTTTATTAAGACAATGAAACCCACTGACAGTTTAGGTTCCGTCTCTTTTGCCCATGTGTAGCGAGTTTGAAGTTGAAGATATTCGCTATTCCAACGTTTCCATATTTACTGATAAAACTTATTTACTCTATGCCAACGGTCTAATCGATTTGACGGAGTATCGCTTACGTCTCTCTCTGATATTGTAATCAATGCATCATCAATTAAAAAATGGCCAGGAGTTAGCACAATCAATTCGGTTGGACAAGACGACAATGGAGTGAGAGGACGTGAGTTCAGATAAGCCTCAGCGCGTGTAAGCACGGTGTACATTTCGTCGAACGTCAAATGCGATTCGCCCAGTATTCTTTATATAAGTCCTTTCATGTTTTTAACAGCAGACTCCCATAACCCTTCAAAATGTTGTTGCGGAGGTATAAATTTCCACTCAATACGTTCATTTGTAAAATGCTCAAATAACTCCTTTTATGGGCTTCTCAATGAAATAACTCACACACTTCTTTTAACTGTCGATCTGTACCATGAAAGTTTGTGCCATTATCTGAGTATATCACACTAATTTTTCCTCTCCTATCCACAAACTTTTGTAATGCTTGTATAAAGTTCTGCGTACTTAATCCATTTACCAATTCAATATGCACGGTAAAGTTGAAAAACACACTAACATAAGCCATTCTTAAAAGTGCATTTTTTTTTAGACTACTCAATATAACATTACTGGACACCAGAAATGTACTCCGCTTATCTTAAAAACTCGAGACTGTTCAACTCTATCGCTTGATGAAGACGCTATCCATACTAGTGTGACTCTAGAGTCAGACCAAAACACTTTCTTCTAGTTATTTAAATTTAATTTTGGTATACATTTTTTAACCAGCCGCAATAATAATAGCGCAGCAAATAACTCCAAACGTAGTAATGTTATTGTTATTAATGGTGCTACCTTGGACTTCGCGCCGATAAGGTGTACTGTACGATTTCCATTATTATTTGTGCATCGCAAATATATACATGCCCCGTAGGCTTTCAATGATGCGTCGGCAAAATTGTATACTTGTATATTAGTAAAATTATCTGTTTCACCGCACCGTCTTGCTATCAATATGCCATTCAATAATAATAAGTCGCTGTTATAACTACTCCACTCGTTTACTAATTCTTTAGATAACAGCTCATCCCATCCGATACACGATTGTTATAATTTCTGTATCAGTAGCTTACATCGTAAAACTACCGGACTGACTAATCCTAATGGGTCAAATATCGTTGATATATAAGATAAAATAGTTCTCTTTGGAACATTACTATCTTCCGTCATTTTTAACACATTATATTTAAAAACATCACTTAGCACTTCCCATAATAAACCTAAAACTCTATTTAACTTTGAATTTGAACTTAATAGACCTTCTGTTTCCTTTAATTTTACCTTCATATGATCATTACTTTCACTTAATAAATCAGGTATGTTAGACGTCCATTTTAACAACTCCATTCCAGCTTTTTTGAATACAGCAATAAGATCACCTTGTAAATTAACAATTTCTTCTCTAGATTGCGCTCCTGTAAGTAAATTATCCATGTAAAAATCACAACCAAATACTTCACATGCCTTGGGATGATTTGTTTTTTCTTCAACAGCTAACTTTTTAAACAAGCAGTAGCTAAAAAAACTAGCTGGTGCTGTATCATACGTTATGGTTTCTAATTTAAACGTCCGAACGACATCTTCTGGATTTTCGCGCCATAAGATTTGTTGATACTTGTTATCCTCTTCTGTGACTCTTATCTGACGGTACATTTTTACAATATCACTAGTTAAAACAAACTTATGTGTGCGAAACCTGGCTAAAATATATATTAATTCATTTTGAATAGTTGGTCTTTTTAATAGACAATCGTTTAAATTTACACCCGATGCTGTTTTGCACAATGCATCGAATACCACACTGATTTTAGTAGAAGTGCTATTTTCATTGTACACCGCATAATGAAGTAAATAACAACATATTGACTTGTCCTGTTCCTTTTCATCAATTATCTCCGTCATATGTCCTAAGCTTGCGTATTCTGACAAAAATTTTGAATATTCAGCCTTTAATTTTATATTACTCTTAAATCTTTTCTCTAAACATAACAATCGACGATTGGATATTTCGTAAGAACCTCCGAGACCAGTTGGTTGATTACAAAATGGTAATTTTACTATAAATCTGCCGGTTTCATCACGCGTTATTGTATGATTAAATATTTCTTTACATTTATTTTCTTTTAAAGTAAAAAGATATTCATTATCAACCTCTTCAAGACGCCAAAATTTTGACACTAAATTCTCTAAATTGCCGATTTAGTTTACCGTAACATCTAATATTAAATAATTTGTACTAGTTCAGATTTTATTTTCATTAATATCACTAGGCACTTGACCTGATATTACCCAACCGAATTTTGTATCCTGTAAAATAGGACCGTTTGACTCTAATTTAATTTTCTCCTGACTGATAATTTCATAGAAATTTTCCGCTCCTAATAACTGATCTACCGACTTGGTTTTCGAAATTCTGATTCTGCTATCACTACGTGTTCAGGAATTTTGAGCCTTGCGCTTATATATTTCGTGGGAAGACTACCGGTAATTTTGGGAATCACTAGACGAGTGATACTTAACACATAATTATTTACCCTAGACTTTAAAATTATTTTAACTGAACTATTTATATTTTTTATTGTTTCTCCAATTCCATATACTCTATGCGATATGTGTTTTCTTTTTAAACCCATTTCTCGTACTATTCGCTCGCTAATATAATTGCTTTGGCTACCAAAGTCGAGTAACGCTCTACACGACTCCATTATATTATTCTCGTCACCTATGTTTACTACAGCAGTAGCTAAAACTATTTGATCATATGTCGCTAATACCGAACTGTACGCACTGGTGGTGGCAATCGGTTCATTTTGTTTAATACTATTATTTTCATCAGTTTGTATGTTTTCATTGCTTATCTGTGTTGTTGTACGTGGTGGGAAATGTTATAACGAATTATGAGGTCGAGCGCATCTAATACAATTTTTTGCTGTACACTTTTTACCTGCGTCTTGTCTCAAACAAATTTTACAAAGTTTTAATTAATTTACCTTTTTAATACGCTCTTGCACGGATAAAGTTAAGAAAGTTGGACATCGGTAAATTGTATGTGATAATTTACAAATAAAACATTTAATAGTTTTATCTGCAACCGCGCATGACATTGAATAATACTATTTCTCATTTAATGATGCCTGACGATTATTAAGCGTTTGTGATGCCTCTATAGATTCTAACATTTTGAATCGTTCTTCCAAAAATAACATCAACTCATTTGCTATCTCATCTTTATTTGCACTTATTTCCCATGCACACAAAGTCATTTTATCCAGTTTAATCATTAGAATATGCGTTAATAAAGGTCCCTAATCATAGGGTTTGTAGCGTAACACCTCTAGCGCATTTAAATGATTACTAACTTAATCGATGAACTGTCGTAATTTTGCTGTTTATTTGAAACTTAACACCTCAGCGTCATAAATTGCTTTTACATGTGTTTGCATCCAAATTTTTTTGTTATTAAAACGACTAATCAAAACTTTCCATACTACCTCATAGTTGCTTGTTGATGTTTCTAAGCCTTTAATACAATTTAAAGCTTCTCCACTTAGAGATGCTCATAAATAGCAAAACTTTTGTATTGGTGCCAACTCCATATTTTTATGAACAATTTTATTTTTTTAATAATTGTTTTATTGTATCACTTTAAATTGCCGTTTGGCGTCAGCTAAATAAATAAATAAATAAATTTTATCGAATAGATCAAATAACACCGTCCACTCTTGGTATTTACCAGAAAATACTGGTAATGTGAGCGGGGGTAATTCAACTGCATCTGATTTTTTAATGAACTTTTCGGCCATTATCTTATAAAAGGAGTCCTCGAAGTCATCTCTCTGTTCCGCTTGTTTTTCTATACTTGTCTCTAACTCTATTGCACTTTGTACTTGGAACTCAAGCCATACTTTTTCTATTTTATCTCGCATTGTTCTTACTTGAATTGTATCATTTCCCTTTTTTAACCACAAACAAATTTCACAAATTTAGTTAATTGTGCTTTAAACTAACCTCTCCACCCTATCAAGCCTCTTAATTCTGTCATTATTTATTTTTTTTTTTTACACAATAGTTCACTAATACGTGTACCTTATCTATATTTAACTTATGTAATACAGCTGTTCTACTACTACAGCTTATCTGTAGATATTATACGTCTATTATTTATTTTTTTACTATTGTTATACACTCCGCACTGCTACATCGAATTAACTAACTTTACTATTGTGTATTATACTCTCATTAAATAAAATATGTTTTCTACTGGACAAATTTGCTTATATCAAACAATATATATTATATAGATAATTTTATTTTTACATCGAACTCACTCGACAAACTCGGCTAACTTAACAATAGTTAATCTATTTTTTCTCTTTAATTTTTTTTAAAGAAGAAAATACAAAGAAACTTACCGACTTATTTTCATATTTCGATCAATATTTTACCAATGGCTTTTTCTTTCTTTTTTAAAAAATCACTCCTAAAAATGACTTCTAAGCGGTACTGCGACGCTTTCTTCCTAATCATTTCGAAACGGTAAACTTTAAATTGTATTCTCACATAAACTACTAGAGATTTATATAAAGACGGTTAACTTTATTCGAATAATAATTTTGACCAATCGGACTACACTAAACTTGTTCTGGTTAGGTCTAAGATTTTTATAAGCAGTGAAACTCAACACTACACTTCGCACACTATTTCGTACAGTATCCCTAGACCAGTAGCCTAACCATATGGTAATATTTACGATTTTCGCACAATTTATTTAATTACACATCCGGGGCCGATGGACCATTTGGTCGGTAGCTTACGGTATTTTAAATTTAACAAAGAACACTCTATTTTTTCTTAATAATGTGGACTGTATTTTTTTGCGATATAACTCACATTTCATATCCGAATAAAACTTTAGGTGCGCGTAGGTGCGCCGAACTTATCATTCGATGTCCGGTTTACGACTAACTTACAATGTAAAACCTACGTTGGACCGCCTCCTACCTATTCTATAACAAAAGTATCTCCTATTTTTCCCCAATATCAAACAAGGTACAAAACCTGAAATTTTAAAATTTTTTAAGTAATATACATATATAATATATGAGGAATTACTAATATAGATAGCTAATTGTTTTTTTGTGACGTCGGATATTCGCAGATACACAAGACTTATCATCAATTATCTTTATCATTAGATATGCTTTTTGTATTACCAGTTGGTGTATTTATAAACTCACAACAAAATGCATTACTACCATAATTTAAACTTATCTGTTGATAAAATTGTTAACTGACTGATGCGATTGTGTAATGCCATCCTATGTATGGAATATTAATATTTAAGTAGCAATAGCTCTAACTACAATTTTTTTGAAAATGACTATTTGGTATGAAAATTATCGTATTATCTTTACGGCTAATTCTTGTAATAGCGTTATTGTGATGAAATGCTTATTTTCCCTTCAATGTATGTATAAATGATAAAGTATTCTTTATACTTAACTGTATCTGTCTATAAAAATTATTATACTTGGTTGAAATTTACTGCTATTGTAAAACCACAGCAGACATTGCTGTTATATGTATATATCTCTTTTTTGCACTCAGCTCATTTTTTTTTAAATGAAGTTCTTAATTGGTATAAATATTACTAATTTTTCATTAGAAAATGTTTATTTCAATATCAGTTCAAAAATAATAAACAAATTAACAATTAAATCTGTGTTGAGTAAAACGAAAATAAAAGCTAAAACCTTAAATGTATTAAATTAAGAACTATTTTATTAAAAACATAACAACTGAATAAAAAAAAAACAAGATTAAAAGTATCATTTCTAAGTTAAAACGTAATTTCTAGTCTGTAAGATAAAAATCATCTATAGTCAGTATGATTAAATAATAAGTGCACAAACGGGGTTTGTTTATTGTACGTCGTTTATCCACTCAACAAATTTTAAACTTGATATTTATTTCATATAACTGACTAAAGTGTGTCTCTTTAATACACTCATTATTCCTCTGAGTGTGTGAGACCATATTGTGAAGTAAAATAAATTTGCCAAAAATTTGACATAATTCCTTTCTGAACTTAGCAATGCAAATATGATATCATAAAAATAACAATAAAAAAATTATTTTTTATAGGATAGGACTATATCTAATGGTACTCATTAAATGCGTATGTAATAATAATATTCGATTTTTTGTTCGTCCTGGAAAACATATTTTTACAGGCATTGTCATTAAGGTATAGACGTATAAAGTGATCGGTTAGCCATGAACCACTTGATTGATCTCAAAATAAATAAAATATTTGAAAAGAAAATTTTGATTTCTTTTAGTTGCATAGAATGATTGATTTATTAGGTAATAATTATTTTTTAAAATTATCCCTTATAACTTAAAGAGGTTTTAATTAATTTTTTAAATGACAACATACATATTTAACTACCTTATAAAATAAGTACTAATCCAACTAAGAAATTGACTATACCAAAATTTGTTTATGGTAAATCTATCACTCTGTATATGTCATAGAAAGGATGATTTATTAGCTACCACATTTGTTATTGTAATTTAACCGGTCTAACAATGTTCTGATAAGTAAATAGCGTGTGTATTAGTGCCTTTTATCGGTAAATATGTAATTTAGAATTTTATATACATTCTTACACAGAGTTAGGTTATCGGTGCTGGTTCAGAAGTTACGTCAGTGATTATTATTTGATCGCGTTATAAAGTTGTCCGTAACGAGTTACTGTATATCGTAATGACTATACATGTCAAAACATACGACTGGTTCAAAGAAACTCTTGCCTGTTGCGTTGGTTTGTCATTACAATACACAGCTGATGATCATGAAAATCATGTCACGCAGCATTACATTGATGAATAATTGACACCAAATAAAAAAAAAATGTGTAAATGAAATAAATTTAAAAACTAAAAAAAAACAATTATTTCTGTATATATTATATTAATACTTTTTTATAGTAAATTAATGCATTATTTTTATTTTAATAATGGTTTCAATTATTCTTTCTTTCACTTCTTTTGTAATAATTTTACCGAATATTTATTTGGTATTCTACAGTTGCAATACCAATGTTTATGGCTGGAATGACATTAGGATGGCCGTCTCCGATTATGGATTATACAAAAAATGGACTAGTACCAACATTTCTGTTGTCATCTAAGATATCTGTGGTAGTGGCTTGCATAGATATTGGTAATTTTATCATGGCAATACCAATAGGTCGCCTCATGGATAGCCACGGGCGTAAGTTTACCGTATTTATGTCAGCGCCGCTAATGTTTATGGGATGGCTAATTATATTATATTGTTCAACGGTAAATGATTCAGTGATAAGTAGTAAAATAACAGACAATTTAATTTTTAACAATATAAACGAGCATAAAAAAACGAATAAAAATCATTATCTTAAAAATTAAACAAAACAAATTATGGGGAGGGATTTTACCCTAATTTTTTATGATTACTTATTTTTTCTAACCAGTAATTTTCTTTATTAAATCGTTTTATAAGTTGGTTAAATATTTACGTTTTCATTTAAAAAAAATTTTATTAATTGTTTTATTTATTTTTATAATTTAATATCCAGAAAAATTACTAAGCCTCACTAAGAAACACTCGTCTGGGTGATCATCATTTACTCGCGTAGTAAATTTTTATATAAAAATTAGAAAATTATTTAAAACTTAAATTTTGAAAGTAAAATATATATATATTAATCCTTAATTAGGTTTTAGCGTTATATTTATACCTTAGCCAGTGTGTTATGTTTTTAAAGAAGCTCAAAACCCATGCTACTTAAATAAAAGGATTTAAAATTAAAAAGTTAAGTTGTAATGAACTCATAATCGTTCCAAAAAGACTGTTTTATTAGGTCAATTTAAAGTATAACTAATTAAATTAGTTTTTTTATTAACTTCTTTATCGTATTTGTATGCAGTTACTATATTAAAAAAATGAATTTAATATAGAAAAATATTTTAGTTTAATGACCTCCATGATGCTGGATACTTTCGGAAAAGTCTTCAGTATTTGGAAAGATATTAATTGAAATTTCACACCATATATCGTTTTGAGGATGAAGGCGATTTTTTTAAATTTATATTAATGACAGCTAAAACAGCAAACCCGGCTTTACATAAATACATTGTTAGAAACTGCAGTAAACTTTTTTCAGCTTCTTTTGATAAAATAAGATTTTCTTTGAGCTATGCTCAAAATTGAATTAGGCACTTTGTAAAAAATTTTCTTACAAAAGTTGGTCTGCTTAGAGATCAAGTTCTTAAAAATCACAATTATTATCACCAACTTCGCTAGCAGAAACTTCAAATTGATTTCTTACCCAACTGAATTTATCAAGCTCAACGTTTTGTAGTATGTATCGGTCGAATTCAAACTGTAATTTTTCCAAATAATCTTTAATAAGTATTATTAATAACTTTGTCATCCAATGTAACTTTCGTTGAATTTCCGAATAAATCATTAAGACGTGAAAATGTAGTCATTTTTTCTCTTACAGTTTATTTAGTCTCGGTGCAAGTTATCCGATTTTTCCCTTCAATTATAATATATAATTAATTTAAGGGTCATTCCATTTAAATCACATAATGTGTCTGCGGCTATATATGGTTAAAATCTTTATTAAAGACTTCTTGAAGTTCATTGACAATAAAAATATATATTTTTTATCATACAACACAGTTATTGTAATTAAAAACCTGACAAAACACCTTATGTTCTAAAGACTATAACTTAATGCAATCCAAATAATAAGTGAATTTTCCAGAATATTTAAATTGTAAATTTTAAAAGTCTATAAGTGGTGTTAAAATTATTTCTCCATCATCAAATTTTTAACAAATATTTTAATTGCCTAAAGGTAAGTACTATGTAAATTTGAAAAAATTTATTTAGTCGCTTTTGTGTAATGAAATAATTATGTCAGCTATTTTCAGCAAACTACGCGTGTTAAACGATACAATAAAAATTATAAATATATTCAACAATGATGTGAATTAAAAAACATAACCAAAAGTTCTGAACACAAAAATTTATATACAAATTTTTTATCCTTCAAATTTTGTTATTAAAATACTGAAACTGTAAACATTTTGACGTAAAAAAAAATTCAAAATCATCAAACTTATGAATGAAATTGAAATACTATATAATTTAAGTAAAACAGTACTAGTTCTACAGTGATAGCTTATTTAGATTGGATTAATTTACAGGCTTTACAACACTACGTGTTTTTTCCTGTTTTTAATTTTTTTTTTATGATCTTCAAATTATCGAAGATATTCAAATTATTTAATTTCAAACATAACTGAACTATAGTCACACACATTATGTGATTTTACATAGAATGATCCTTCAGCGTTAAAAAATATCACTTAAAAAACTCAACTTGGCACTAACCTAAGCAAGTTCATTTTAATAACCTTGATTTTATAAAAATTTAATAATTAAAAAACGCCCTGAAGAACTACAAAAAGTTGAATTTTGTGATGCTAAATTTTCTTTGTATAAAAAACAACTTTTTAACAACAATTATAACTTTCGGATTAATTTTGAACTTGTTTACAAAATCCGATTCTACACCCAAGCATAACCATCAAAAAAAAAAATTTTTTTCCAAAATATTCAACAACTTTTTCAAAAATATCTAATCCTCCAAAATAATCGATAGGATTTGGATAACATATTAATACAATAACATATTTATATTAATATTACATATTAATAACAATTTATTCCCAATTTATCAATTAAATACTTTTTTTAAGTATGAAATACTTAATTCATAAATCAAAAAATATATGAAAGAAAATAACCCAAAAATGATTTTCTTACAATAGTTTTTATTTCGGGTGGCTTCATTTGCCAAGCAAGAGATCAGTTCGATATTTGGAGTCGTCATCCCTCCGTCTGACGACGGACTAACCACCAGTCCCGGAGTATCAATGTTTAAAAAATTTAATCCTTCGTGGGAAGCCACTATGACCCTTATTGAGCTTATAAAGCATTAAAAAATAAATTGTTATTTCATTAAAAAATCGAGTGACTAGCAATAAAAGAACCACCATGCAAAATTTCAAATTTTTTTGAGGAGCTATTTTTTGTTGGGGATTTCTTCTAAACCTAGTTACGCCTATATTCTTTCCATAGTTTTCCACTAAGGAAAAATTTGAGTTGTAAAGACAACTATTTTAAATTAAAGTCATAATTATTTTCAGTGACGTATTTAAAAGCTTAATAGTGCTTAGCTCTCTATTAGACATGCTATGGTAATCACTAAATTAGACAACAAAAACTATTTTTATTAAATACTACTGTGATCAAAAACTAAGGTGAATTTGTTTATAAAATGAAAATTCTTTATCTATTCTATCAAATCAATTTCATCCCCTTCAAAGTAATTCCTGCCCGATAAAATACACTATTGCCAACGCTTTTTCCAGTCCTCGAAACAATCGAAATAGTCCTTTTCCGGTATAGCCTTTAAGACCTTCTTCGATTCCATTTTTATCTCCTCAATCGTATCAAAACGGTGTCCCCGCAGCGGCTTTTTTAATTTGCTGAGTAGCCAAAAGTCGCATGGAGGCAAATCAGGTGAATACGATGGTTGCGGAACGATATGAGTCGAGTTTTTGGCAAAAAAATCGCGGAGAACCAATGCAGTATGAGATAGCGCATTATCGTGATGAAGGAACCAAGATTTCTTCGCCCATAATTCCGGCCGTTTCAAACGAATAGCTTTACGCAAACGACGTATAACACTCAAGTAATACACTTTGTTGACAGTTTGGCCCGGAGGTAGGAATTCATAGTGCACCACACCATGATAATCAAAAAAAAACTGTCAACATGACCTTGATTTTCGATCGTCTTTGCCATGGTCTTTTCGGTCATGCTTCACCTTTTGCACGATATTCGCTGGATTGATCGGTGGTTTCAGGGTCATATGCGTAAATCCAAGTTTCGTCTCCAGTAATGATGCATTTCAAGTGGTCCTGATAGTCAGACAATAAAGTTTCACACACATCTACGCGACGCTTTTTTTCCAAAAAATTGTGAGATTTTGGCACCAATCGAGACTTGACAAGTTTGAGACACAAAAAATCCTTCAAAATGGTTTGGGCTGAGCCAAATGATACGCCAACACTATCAGCAAGATCTCTAATTGTCAATCGACGATTTTCAAGCACCAAAACTTTGATTTCTTGGACGTGGCCTTCATCGGTAGACGTTGATGGTCGTCCAGAACGCGGTTCGTCTTTAACGCTTTGAACTCGTACCACTTATAAACGTTTTTTTGAGCCATAGTTTGATCACCAAAGGCCTTTCGCAACATTTTCAACGTGTCCGCACAAGAATATTCGTTCCGTAAACAAAATTTGATGCAAGTGCTTTACTCAACAAAATCACCCATTGTAAAAATCAAAAAATTCACTTTTGGTTGTTTAAAAAAACGCATGTAACTTGGAGATTATTAAAACTTTTGACAAACAGACGCTTGCTACATGTCAATAAGGAAGTCCTACCAACATAAGAAAAAAATTAACCTGCCTTCCTAATGCTCGGGAGTTTTAAATGACAATTTCACCTTACTTTTTGATCACAGTAGGACGTATTTTGAAAACATTGTTCGCGTTTGGGGATTTACTATTTCTAAACATTTTAGATTATTTTAGACAAAATAATTAAAATATTCATAGTATTTTTCTTTTTAAACAACGAGAGAAGCTCTACTTTAGATTTATTTTCGATTTTAAATAACATTTGAATGAATTACAATTTATTAATTGATATTGCTGTTAATCCTTTTTTTTCATAGATTTGGAGCTTATATATAGCTAGGTTGATACAAGGCGCTGCNTTCATAGTATTTTTCTTTTTAAACAACGAGAGAAGCTCTACTTTAGATTTATTTTCGATTTTAAATAACATTTGAATTTATTAATTGATATTGCTGTTAATCCTTTTTTTTCATAGATTTGGAGCTTATATATAGCTAGGTTGATACAAGGCGCTGCTGTGAGCATAGCCTGGGTTGTTTCACCTGTTTATATAGGAGAGATAGCTAGTGCGCCAATTAGAGGTACTCTTGAACTATTAGTACAACTAGGGTACGCATTAGGATTATTGTTTTCATACGGCACTGGATGGTTATTAGCTGACTATTGGAAATTAGCAACCATATCTTCAATTGTTCCTGTTGTAGCCGGTATCCTATATTTTTATATACCTGAATCGCCATACTACCTTATGTATGTTAACCGACCAAACGAAGCAGCTGAAACATTGAGGAAACTCCGAAGAAATTATACTCAACAAGATCTTGATTTAGAGCTAATGTTTATTGAAAAATCTTTAAATGAAAAGTAAGATTCCACATTATTTGTTTACTACTAAATAATAGTCAAATTTCAGAACTACCCAATGAATAAAGTTCTTAGAAGAAAACTCCAAAGCTTTTAAAGCAATTAGATAAAAAAAAAATACATCACCAAAATAAAATACTGTTTAATAAACTTTGCTGTCTAACATTTTTAACTTAATGGAGATCAATAAATTAAATTTTTTTGTAGTATAATATTGACTACTAGCTACTCTTTATACCAATAAAAAGAAAGAAAGAATGATAGGAATCGTCAAAAAATTACAACATAAAAAATTACCATTATTATTTTTTACTTAAAATTGCGATAACTTTTTGAAAATGAATTGATATAAGTAAAAACATATTGATAGCATCATTATATTAAGTTTTCTTATACTTTTATTAAGTATATATATTTGCTCACATGGAGAGTTTAAATAACAACTTTTTCAACTTAACTTTTGAAAATGATCTTATTTTGAAGTATGCGATTTTAGCATTTTATATTAAAAATGTTAACTTATTTCTAAATCTTTAATAAAAAATTGTTAGTATCATATTTAAAGGGTATTTTTGAGATTATAAGTGCAAGTATTACCCTTGCCGTATATATATTGCAGAAACAATATAGAAAAACACAGTGGTAAGGGTATTCAATGGGTTTCTTATACTTCATATAACCGTAGGATAGTATTAATTGTTTATAAAAAAATTATAGGCTAAACGATTACAGAAATTTTCAAAATGAGATTAATCGAATAAATTAAAATGAGAAATTTTTGAAATTTAACAGACACATATTGAAACATTTTATATGATAGTGATGTTAATCAATGCCAAATATCTTCTATACATGTCCCAACTATGCCACGTTCTTTCGTCGCAGTGACCCCACTGTGATGGATTGGGATTATTTTTTCAATTTGTTGAAAATGTTCCATCAATTCAAAATCTATACCAAATTAAAGTTTTTAAAACGTATTATATCATAAAATGAAAAGTGAATCAATTAATTATTTATTTATAAATTTAAGAATTTTATAATAGTGATTTTTACTTGCATTAAATTTCAATTTTTTAAGGTATTCGCTATGCTAATATTCCTATTATATTTTTATGTGATTTTATTTAATTAGAATTTTTTTGTTAATTTAACAAAAAATTCATAAGTAAATCGAATTATTTATTCAAAGATATTTTAAATCACATAAATATTATTTTTTAGCCAAGGAGGAAGAATAAAAGTTCTCTTGACTAGAGATCGAAAACCATTAGTAATTGTACTATTATTGGCTGTACTACAAATGGCTTGCGGTACCAGCGTACTAGAAGCATATGCGGCGTCTATTTTATCTCTAACTAATGTGTCACCGAACGGATGTGCTTTTATACTCGGGATCGTGACTTTAATAGCCGTAATTCCATTCGCGTTCACTGTTGATAGATGTGGTCGGCGACCATTATTAGTAGTATCTTGTTTAGGAACTGCCGTTTGTCACATTGCAACATACTTGTTTTTAATTGTAAATATGGACATAGGGGGCATAACACTACTAGTAACTATTTGCGGTACAGTGTTTTTTATTAATATAGGGCTGATGCCACTTTTATCCGTAATTCAGTGTGAATACTTTCCATCAGATACTAGAGCTCTGGGAGGTACAGCCTTGGTGCTTACAGTGACATTAGCTTCAACTATCATGGTTGTTAATTACCAATTGGTAGATAATTTTTTAGGAATGTCTACCAATTTTATTTTGTATGCCATTTTGTCTGCTACTGGGGCAGTTTTTTGTTACATTTGGGTACCAGAAACTAAATGTAAAACTTTTTTTGAGATACAACAAGAATTCAAAGTTTCAGGCCAAATTAAAAGACATAACTATGAACAAATATAATAAAAAATGTAGTACATAAATGTGGATCAAAATTAACACAAAAGGTTTAAATAGCCATAACTTACTAAATAATAGAGTTAAAATGATGTAATTAATATTATTTAATCAAAAATAATATGTAACTTAATTGACCAACATTCTATTTTTTGAATTAACTTTATAGTAAATTATGAATTTTTTTTTTAATTTAGACAATTTTTTCTAAATTAGAATATAAAACAGCGCTCTATTATTTTAATTAATTAATGCCATATAATTAATGTAACTGAAAACATTAAAAAATAATTATATTCAAATTCTTTCATATGTATTTATTTTAATGAAATAAAATTATAATCTCTCTAAAATTAGAATTCATCAAAATTATTAATCTTTTATATAAATTACTAAATAGTAGTTATTATCATAATATACTCATTTTACTGTAATAGCCTTTCATATATATGTAACAATAAAATATTATATTTAAAATATTACTTATACTTAACCTTATAATTTTTTTAAAATTATATTAATTTTATATATTAATTTTGCCTTAACTTTTAATAATTTAAATCAACACTAACATTGGAAACTAAATATTTGAAAAAATTCATTCATTTATTCAAAAATTTCTATTAAAAATTAAATTTCTTAATTGATAAAATTTGTAATTCTGAGTCTAATAATTATTTTTACATAACTGATAAGAAAATTTTATATTATTATTCAATAATAATATAAAATATAATAATTTAAATGGAAAATATAATTTTTTATTTAAGAACATACTTTAAACAAATATATTTAACACATTTATATTTCATAATGTCAATTATATATTTTTTTGAAGCACAATTTTCATTTTGCCCTACTTTTGCCTAAACTTCAATTATAGTTGAAGTAATAATTATTATTTAAAATCATTGTAAATAATTATGTAATAGCAAAAACTATTTCAGAAAACTAAATTTGTATCATTAACTTTTTAAATTATGTCATTTAATTTTTATATTGTAAATTAAGTCAACTTTATTTTACATTTATATTGTACTTGCTATTAAATTTAACAATAATAGCACTACCACAAAGTTTTAATTTCTTTTAATACTAACCAATTAATTTATCTTAAAATAATATTATTTTGTGTATTTATTTTTTTGAATTTAATTAATTAAATATGTATACCTGCTTATCTATTGTAAAATATTTTTTTTTGTTCATCTCACATATCTTTATAAAAGTGCCAGATTTTTTTTTTCAAATAGAAATATACATAATTAATTAGCTTATAATATAGATAACGATGTAATGAAGAAAATGACTCGTCGAAAACAATTTTTAAATAGTACTTCAGACAATTTTTGGACCAATATTTCAGAAGTTCTAAACATTTTTACAACTAGACGGGAGGAAGACTTTGAAATACCTAGTATTAAAAATAGCAACTCTTGCGCCAATTATTTTTTCATAAAAATCACTTTTTTATGTTACAAAGTAGCACCCTTTAATACTACCCTATACCTTCTTATATTAGTAATAATATAGCATTTTTATGTAAATTTAATTTAATTTGCTACATATTATAAAATAAAACAGGTATAACATGCCTGTTTGACGTTAATTTATCAACTATTATTTGGTTTTAACTAAAAACCAAATAAAAATATATATATATTGACTTCCAACAACTACATCTAGAAATCATTTAGAAAAAAAATTATAGTGTGTAAGAAGCAAACCTTTGGAAATTTCCTTAATATCTGCTGTACTGTAACCACGGACAAATAACTTTAACAGTTTTACACAAATGAGGTAATACTTATAGAGCAATTCCATAAATTTAATGACGTTTACATTTTTTTACCAATGATTTAATTAAGATGACTCCACAATTAAATTTCTACAACAAAAATATTGATTATAAAATTTATTCGTAAAAAGATGCATTTTTAAAACTAATTAGAGGTATAAATAATAACAATTTACTAAAGTCAAAAATTGAAAACAAAATATTATGTAATCAGAATGCAATGAATGATACACTAACAGCATTATTAAAACTAACAAATTACTAAAAAGATTCGAAAAAAGTGTTAAAGCGGTATGCAACCGGAAAATTGTTTGTTTTTTTTATATAACTTTCAGCTTCTTCGTTATTATTCCACCAATCCAAACCCTATAACGCGTTCAAATCTAGTTTGGTGTACGAGCACCAACCATTAAACCTCGATGATATTCCTGGAGATTTTACCTTTGAAATCTCAACGCCATTCAATTCTTACTTTATTTCGGAAAATAAAAACGCTAAACAGTTATTTATAAAATAATATTTATAACTTCGTATCCATATCTGCTGGAACATTGAACTTTTCTTCAATGTAAATATAACTATCACACAATAGTGAGTACGAGTCCGTGTTCTGAAAAAATATTCTGATTTCATCATCTTTGTCCAGAGTGGTTAACGAAAAGAGTAAATAAGAATGATACTACATTCGAGTTATTCTACAATCTTCTACTTACCCTTCAGTGACGTTCAAATAAGCGTCTTCGTTATATTTAGAGAGCTTTATAAAACAAATGATAGCATGATTTAATTTAGTTAGTTTTGGTTTGATGTGTTTTCCTTTGACTGGTGCCCGACGAGTGATTGTGTTCGAGACAGTTGGTTTTACAGTAGCCGACTTTTTTTTATTATTGGTGATATAAAATTTAAAAAGCCAGCTTTAAAGTATAAACAAACGGTAATCGGTTCCTCACAGAAGTTGATTAATTTATGTTTTTAATCCCTCAAAACAACGTTTACTTTTGAAAGGGACATAGTGTTGAGTGAATTATAAATCATATGTGTAGGGGCACTTTAATAATCCTGTAACCTGACACGACCGCAGGAAAACATTCGTGGATCATCTGATTGGGTACTCCGTCATTGAATAAACTTATAATAAAATTACAATCGACTTTTATATAGTTCATTCTCAATATGCTTATCAAGTGTTGCGACTCATGTTCAACATTAACTTCACATACTTTTCTTTCGAATCCCAATTATTCAGCTATGGAATCTTTTCAGGTGAAGTCGATTGCAAAATAACAAAATATTACACACTTTAATGTTTGTTTAATGGCTTTCAAATGAAACGTTGTGAAACCTGTTATATTTTTTATAGATCATTCTAAACTACTCAACTCATATACTTCAGTGGGTAAATAGTAGTATATTAACTTTTTTAGTGTATCGATGAGGGATACGGTATTGCAACCGGGTTCAACATTTGGAATCGAATGGTAGGAGTTTAAATTAGAAAGACCTAATTTTTGTATTGTGCCCAATATAAATATCTCAAATGGTGGGAATATGCCACAAAACAATTTTCTACTGTTTCCGTTTTAAGTAAAGCGGTCTTGTTCACTCCTCCATAGCTCGCAGTGCTGTCCGTGGAGATCCCGCTTAAGGACTCCATGACTTATCTGTGCCTGGTCCCCAGTTTGGGCGGATACTCTTGAGTATTCGTCCAAAAACCATGAAGCCTTGCTCAGAGTGCAGAGACGGATGGCGATCCGGACAGTTTTGGCGTACCGAACGGTGTACGGATTGGCGGCCAGTATCTTGTCTTCACTATCGCCTGCAAACCTACCCGCCAAGCGCTGGTTTAGGCCGGCGCCTTAGGTATTTGTGTTTAATTTTTTATGTTTATATGTATTGTAAGTTATTTACCCCCTCGCAAAGTCCTGCCCCCCACCACCACGAGGTGCAAACCCGGGCAACAGTTCCCACTCCGGGATCCGGCTAACGGGGGAGGCCACATCACGTTGTGAATCAGCTCTTGATTGATTTCGGGCTGATTCACAATAAAGCATTCCACTTTTAGTACTATGGAATTCCTACATAGACAAACGATTTAACCGTACACTGAAAACTAGTTTTCAGAGAGCTTACGGCACGTGGTACACACAATTGGATTTCATTGTTAGCTGTTATAGTGAATGGTTACAATCGTTCGAAACACCGTAGCATAGGAATGACACCGGTTAAAGCTGACCATAACCTCTCATCAGAAAAATTATCCGCAAGAAGGATAGCGCATCGCTAGTCAAATGGCTTAAAATTGATAGTTTACAAAACAGTAAAATAAATACAAGTTTTAAAAAAAAATAAAACTCATTCGTAGCTCAGTAATTGTCGTGTTCAGTAATACTGCTGACAGTGAAAAGATTGTAAGCATTTTAAGATTTGAATCTACAGTATGCTCAATCAAAAACGCTCTTCAAAAATCAACACGTCAAATCCTATGTTAATGAATCAAATTGCCAAAGTCGAAAAACACTATTCAGTATTTGTAGACAGAATCAGTGTTTTAATCTTAAATTTGACTCAGAATTCAAAACATCAATTTTTTTAATCCTCGAAACATTACTATCAGCGTTAGTGAAACGCGTTGAAGAAATAGAACACAAAGAATTGCCAACGTTTGCTAACCGAATCAATAAAAAAATCGTTTTTTCCTTTTCAAAAAGCACTAAAGAAATAGAATTTTCAATCATTTTGCTCAAAATTACTAACGAAGCAAATACACAACGCGTTAAAGTTGACAAAGCGGATTGTTGAAATCGAAAAACAGTTGTCAACGTTGAAAGACCGAGTTTATTATACCACAAAATAGACTACTCAACTATGGAATAAAGTGGCTGAAACCGATACTCTAGTTTCTTTATTCAAGAAGAAAATTGGAGAAATAGAGTTATCGTTATAGAAGAAAAACGAATCGTAAAAATTATGACATCGATAATAATAGATATCCAGTGTGTAGTTGATGGAAATAATATATACTTGATAAAAGAAATGTCCGCGATCACTACCGATGCGCTGGCGGTTCAGCACTGGACTTTTAAACGCAAGCCCTTTGTCAAAAGTTGTACCAGTATATCAGTCGAATCTCGGGCGGTAAACTATTGGTTGCTACGATACTATCATCAGCTATTAGCGGAATGCGGTGATAATGGATTCCGAGAAGTCGGTAGAATATTAGGTTTGTTGAGGGTCAAAATAATTTACGTGAAACAGGAATGAAAACGTAATATAATCAAGGAATACGTTCTTGACGTCAACGTCGTCAACATGGAGGCCCAAGGTTGTCCAAGGTTGATACAGCTAGTCAACAATAATGATCTTCACATCATCACATATATTGACTATAACTTTTTAGGCCACGGTCAATAAATATTTGTTAATCTTAGACCAGTCAGGCTATTATAAAGAGTAATAAATATTATATTATAATAATTTAAAAACTCATGCATTGATACCATGAAAAATATACACTTAATACCTAAAAATTAATAATGCTATAAATTTAAAACTTAAGA